TCCTTATGCAAAATCCTGCCCAGACTCTGTGTTCTAATGCACACTGGAGGAGGCAACTTTTTCTAAGCTCTCCCACTCCCCTCTTCCAATCTCTCTCTGCCACACACACACACTCACACATACACTTCTACACCTCACACAAATATTCTTGTACAACATTATCTTTACATAACTTAAAGAAAGCCATTCCATAAGAAGAAAGATTTTCCAATATGTAGAAATCAGTAGAATTTTTAAATGGCAGATTATTTTTCATGAACAAACCCTCCGCATCAAAGGGCCCTCCACATATGTGTTGCTTGACTGACTGACTGATAAATGTGTGAATGATAAGAAGACACCTCTAGGGATTTTTAGGGTAATTGGGAAAAAGCAGAGCTCATATAATGGGGACTCATTGAGGAAGATGCAAAGAGGTGGGTTGAGGAGTTTGTTTTCATCTACACTGATAGGCAAAATGTCAGAGTAATTCAAGAAAATGAGATAAATTTGTTACCCATGAAAAAAGACAGTTCATTAGGATGGAGGCACCAGGAATGGTGACTTAAGTGATTCCAGAGAAGTGCTGGAAGCACATTCTCCTAGAAGGTTTAATAACTTACCAAATGCTTCACCTTCTTTGGCACTCTCCCCTCCCCCACTTAGAAGGTATAAATCACTGACTATCAGGATAATGAGAAGCAGATTTGCCTCTGCTAATTTCTGGGATGTGAAAGGTCTTTAGAAAAAGCCTCATAAGACATTGCTGAGTGTTATGAGCCCTACCACCTTGATAGAGGGCACATGTGGGATGCAGACTGGCAAGTCTGTTCCAACATGGTGGATGCTGCCGGCAAGGGTGGAGCTGCACAGGTAATACCTGTAAGCTCATCACATGTTCTGGTACATGAGGACCCTCTCTGTTTTGATTACCAGAGCCAGGGATGAGGAAAATGCAGTCTACCCTTCCGTGCACTTGAAGTGTATACATCCTTCTCTTAGACTGAGGTGGAGGGATCTTTAGAATATCCCCCTGTGTTGTGAATAGAGTCAAGAGAGGCCAGTCAGAACTCAAAGACTCCCTCAGTAAATTGCTAAGTTGAAATTGCTGGGGGTGCATAGAAACAAAAAGTGAATGCAAAAATCTACTTCATGAGAAATTATGTTAGTATAAGCCAGAAGGAAAGAGCCAAGGGGAAAGAATGCTCTCTGAAAACAGACCTACCTATGAGTCCTGAAGCAGGAGGAATTGACTAAGCAGGACAGGAAGCAACAGCAGAAGCAAGGTGTCTGGAACCTGGCTTCCTCGTACTGAGCCTTAGAAACTCCTTGTTGAGAGACAGCATTTCACTGCATCCCTGGCGGAGACCCTCTGCAGGGGCTGGCCTCCCTCAGGAGCAGCTGACTGGCTTGTCCTCTGGGTGCAGAGCTGGGCAAGGGCATTGAGGGAAGACCTTCTTCAGGTGCCTCTGCTGGTGGATACCGCACAGGACTACAGCGCCCCACAACTGAAAAGGTGGTCTGTGTTGCCAGGTGAATACAGGGACCTACCTCATTTATCAGCGACCTCTGCCACATGAGCCATTACATTGCAATGTGGCCTTTCTGTGCAGTGGCAAAGCTTGAGTGAAAATGAACATGTCTAATGGCTATTTTACAGTGTACAAAGAATGGATTATCACAGCATCACAGAATATTGCAATTGGAAGGGCACTTAGAGATTGTGTCTCCTAAATCTTTCATTCTACCTATGGAGAAACAGAGCTTCAGAGGGGAGAAGATCAGACTACCACTTCTGTAGAAGTTCATGGAGTTTATCGGACCTTCTGAAGAGTATTTGCCAATACCTCTATTTAGGGTGACCCTTAAAATATATTTTTGAAATGTATTTTATCCCTCAGAAACCAATTCTTCATTGCAATGCAACAGGCATGCCAAAGGCCAAGGGATGGAAAAGAAGCAAAAATATATTTTACACCATCACGTTCCTTGCAGTATAACGGAACAATGACCTCTGACATGGAATAATAAAAGCTATAGAAGGACATACATATAATTACTTTGTTCTTTAAAAAAATTTACCAGATGCCTACGTTTCCAAAGTAGGAACATGGCCATATTCCATAGAGGTGGAGCTGTCAGCTAAGTGATTTTCAGATGAGTAAGGGGTTAGTATAAATACTGGAGATGTTATAATAAGGAAAGTATCGTAAGGTGAGAAAAAGAGAGGCAAATAATTTTAAATAAATATAACTTTTTAAGTAAATTTCAAGTAAATATAACTTTTATTACTATAATGACAGAAACTCAATTATGAAAATTTTAACTATATATTATGAACATTATTGGTTTGATGTATCAGCTTACTTATCTTTAAAAAAAACCTATAGTGCCTACATTAATCATATTGAATATTAGTGCTACCTCTATGAATTTCTGACTGCCAGAAAACACTTTGTAAGTAATTATGTTAATATAATGAGGATAATTTGCAGTTGGTTAAGTATTCAGTAGATCAAATCAAATTTTTTTTTGTAGCCCAGTGTGTGTGTGTGGCAGGGGGTAGGTGCATGTGGGTGCATGCATGTGTGGGCGTGTGTATGTACATGTATGTTTCGCTGTGGGGACTAGGTGAAGTGAAGGGTGAGGTGATCAGATCAACACGGACCAGAATATCAGAATAAGAACGAAGTGTTGGTGACTCCAATATCATGAGGCAACTTCAGGGCCACATACTATCATCTGTGAGTGCTAATATAATTCATGGCCAAGGCCCCTTTAAGTTCTCAAAATGAGAAGGAGTGATGTGTTATGCAAGCTAATATATTTGACCCTCCACTTTCTTTGCTCTGCCAGGAGCGATATGAAGTGACCCCCACACTTTGGGGAAAGCGTCAACCTTCATCCTCAAAAGCTAACCCCTTCATCCTCAAAAGCTAACCCCTTCATCCTGCATGCAGCCAACTCTGACCCCCACCTTGTCAGCTGGCATGACCTTCAAGTAGAGGGAAATAATAGGATGAGGAAACAGGTGATTACCTCCCAACATTGGCTTCACATGTTGCTGAGATGAGCCTGTGCCCTGATGGGGTTAGAGGAGCATTTTTAACATCAGCAGAAGGATAGGACATGGAAATTATGTTTTCATATGGGCTGGGAAGCTGAAGGACAAGGCAACACTTGTACACAATCTGATGAGGCCCTTACAAGCTCCTGAAAATTTATTCTAACGCAAGCAAGGAGGGGATGGAAACTGATATATTTTTAAAACTTCTCCAAAGTTGCTCTCCCAAGCAAAATCAGAGAGTAGGAGTCATTTCATGTTCAGGTTTCTCCCAAATTTCCGCATTTGACTTAATCATTAATTCTTAGGTCAAGTAGTTGCAGAAAACTGACACTGACCTTCACTGTGCTGGCCCTATGTGCCTGCCATGTACATGGTTTTTTTCCAGTATATATTTTTTCTTACACCTTTGGGGACGGCTACCACTTTTTAATCTAGCACAATCCCTTATAAAGTAATATATGTTAAAAAATAGTTTATGCTATTGTATATATCTATTGCATCATCATTCTATAATATTTCACAAAAGGCAGTGATTGCCAGGTACTCTGCTAGCTAAAACAATTGAGAACCACTGGACTAACTGAATCTTGGTTCAAATAGTTATCCTTCCAAATATCTCCTCTTGTTCTGGCCCAGCCTAGCCAAAGACACGGGTGAAATGGGCATGTTTACTGCCTATATGACAATTTCTTTCAACTGACTAGAGTGATTATCAGCAGCTTTCTTTCTGCATGTGCTTCTCTAATCTTTTTAGACTAGGCCAACAGAAAAGTTACTTTAAACTTTCTTTAAGTGTGGTCAACATAGATTGAGTTTTGTGGTTGGTTGATTCGTGAAGTTAGACTTGCTGTGGACTGCTATAGAACCTGAAGCTATTGGAGAAAGCAGAATCTTAGAACCAGAATGTACTTTCAGAGATGCCCTGACTTAGAAGGAGGCTGAAGGGCTCCACGGCCAGAAACTCCACAGCACCTTGTAACAGAAATAGCAGGACACACAGCTGCTAATCTGTGAATCACCTCTACCCTGGCTGCAATTATGGCTCTCCTGGCAGTTCTCCTAACCTCTTGGCAATTGTTCTTCTTCAGTACTCAATTCTTATCTGTACTATTGCCCTGGTGTTGACTGTGACAGTTAGATTTCTGCAAAGGAATCCCCAAAGCAGTGTCAAAAAGCATTTGAGACTCTAGAGAATTTCCCTAATAATTGTTTTTCCTTTTCACCAGAATAGGTAAGGTTGTGATTGCTACTCTTAAGTAAAATATGGACTGCACTTAGAGTGATTAATATTTTTAAATCCCTCTTTGAGGCTCCCTAAATAGAACAGGGAAACATGTCCCCTTTGCAGCTCTCAAGCAAAATTATACTATAACAGAGTTGCACAACAAATGGAGGTCATGACTGAATTTCTCCAGGAGAAGTTATGATAAAATTGCAGCTCTCAGGATTGTGATAGAACAGAGGAGTGTTCTTGACAGAATGGTATCCTCTACATTCTCCACCAGAATTTGGCTACAGGCCGTGAGCATGGCTCTCTTTTAGCCCCCAGTTACCAAGTGACAAATGCCCATTTGATGACCCAGGACTACTTGGATCACTCCAAGTTGAGGCTGAAAGTAGTGCAGGGAGCATCTGTAAATTGTTAGGATACTACATTTCAAAGAAAAAGAAAGGACATGTAAAGCTGATAGGCCAATCTATTCCTTAGTGTCTTGAATTTTCTCTCCTTGCTATTAATTAATTAAGGCATAGAGTGGCCTAAAAGGAGGAAGCACCCATAATTTTGACATATGATAAAACAGGCAGCAATTCACCAACTGGACTGAGCAAATGTCTCAGTTTTTCTAGCAGAATTTTTTAAAATTCTCAGAAATAGTCACGGTGAAATTCCTTAAAATAAATTTGAATTTGCAAAAATAAATATCCTTGTTTTTCTACTTTCTCTTTCACAAAGATTTTAAAAGCTGGCTTTAGGATGAAAGAAAATTTGAACTCCTCAGGGAATATGCTGCCTAACTCATGGAAGGCTCAGGTGTGGGAAACGCTGGCTTGACTAAGATATCCTGAAATACAACAGAGGTAAGAAAGAACCACACATTGTGAGGATCATTGAGGAATTTCATCCCAGGGATGCAAAGGGTGTGAAACATCACCAATTGGATTCTCTCTTATCTAATCTCTGCTTAGACAGTTCATTCTCTTTTGGACCATTGTTTTAGAACGTTCTTCCTCATACTGACCTAAACTCTGCCTCCCTGTCACCTTGCTCCTTGCTCTTCCTCTAAACCCCCTGCAGGCTCCTTCTATTTATCAGTTTTTGGAGACATTCAGACACTGCCTCTCCCTTCTCCACTCCTGGGTTCTTTTCTTCTCTGCGCCAGGCACACCCAGGTCTTCACAACTGTTCCATATACAATCTTTCTTCTCTCTCCTGGCCTTCCTTCTTTAGACCAACTACAATTTGCCTAGAGAAATGTTTTCCCTCAAATAGAAAGAACATGATACTCCAGGTGAAATGAACACATCTCTTATTCTAAAAAGTAGATATTTAACATCTAGGAAGTCTAAACATTGATATTTAAAAACAGCAAAAAGAGTAGGATTTCACTGATCATTAGACAACTTTAGAATTTTCTTCAAGACCTTAAGATACAATACCAAATAAGTAAAAGTGGTAAATTTCAAATGTACGTAGACATATGTGTGCATGCAGGGTGGTCCACTTGATGGAGGGTCCTTATAAACCGCATTAGGTCCAGAAGCTTCCAAAATGCCTTGAGTTCAATTTATGAGGTAGGCTTTCTTTAGGGGTCTACAATGCATAAATAACTATTGATTAGCTTCCTAGAGACGGGTTTTTAGTAGAACTCTGAACAAGGGCATTAGAGAAATGCCCCCAATGGGGTCATTTTTGTTGACCTGGGACTACATAAAAATGGGAGTATTGAATGCTTAATGTCACATTTTATTGCTTGGTTCAGCTAATTTGTCTTGTGGGAAGCAAATGTTTTTGAAAGCATTCCAAAGCCTTTGTAGTGTTAAAGCTCATTACCTTGAATTTCATGTGAGCCAAAAAATATACAACTAACTAAGTGCTCTGAACCTCCACAAAATTTCATGACTAGACAGAAGCAAAGCTGTGAGTATCATGTCCTGCAAAACTAAGATGAATTTAGCAATTTGCATCCTTATTAGTAACATGCAATATAATAAATTTGGGGGGATTCCTTTGTTATTGTTTTCTTTAAAGTGCTAAAGATAAGTTAATGAACAGATTAAAGAACACATAGAATATATCTTCTTTAGTGAAATTATATTAATTTTCTGTTAATCCTTAACTCTGGATCCCAGTATACAAACCTGGAAAAAGACTGTGTGCATTTTACCTAGACAGAGTACTTTTACAGACCAGAATATATTTTCAGTTACTACAATAGGACTTGTTCTGTGCCAGGATCTTTCATATACGTAACTCAATTCTAACTCTTGAGGAATTGTTTATCCCACTTACAGATAAAGAAACTGAGGCCCCAATGTCATTATTTTGATAAATAAAATTTCAGTGGTTCATAAGAGCCAGGAGAATTTTATTGCTCCACGTGGTCCTCAAAATACTCACAATCTGATCCTAATCTACCTTCCTAGACCTGTTTCCCACTCCTGTCTGCCCTGAGCTAACATCCATTGTCAACCTTCCTCTTTTTTTGTTTTGTTTGAGGAAGGTTAGCCAGCATCTGTGCTAGTCTTCCTTTACTTTGTATGTGGGATGCTGCCACAGCATGGCTGACAGTGGAGTAGGTCTGTGCCTGGGATTTGGGCCTGGGGATCCCAGGTCACTGAAGTGGAGTATGGAACTTTAACCACTGGGTCATGGGGCCGACCCTTCCCACTTCTGTCTTTAAGGCCCTCTAATACTTTTTTTTTTTAGATTTTATTTTTCTTTTTTCTCCCTAAAGTCCCCCTGGTACATAGTTGCATACTTTTAGTTGTGGGTCCTTCTAGTTGTGGCATGTGGGATGCCGCCTCAACATGACTTGATGAGTGGTGCCATGTCCGTGCCTAAAATCCAAACCAGCAAAACCCTGGGCAGCCAAAGTGGAGCGCAAGAGCTTAACCACTCGGCCACTGGGCCGTCCCTAAGGCCTTCGAATACTAACTCAGTGGGTCAGGTAACAGTCGTTTGTTTGTGTATTCAAAATCTCACAATATTACTCCCTCTGAAATATTCTCTGTTATCTATTCTGTCTGTTGAAATGATCCAACTTCCAATCATCTGAACAATTCCTTCTGCAGGAAACACTCTTAGCTGGCCCTGACGCGAGGATGCACTCCATATCCTCTTAACTCCTTCTCCATAAATGCTGAGGGGAGAGTCAAATATTCTACTGCTAGTGGGATAAAACAAATCAACATATAAAATTAAAAAATTTAAATATCCCTTTTATTCTGTAGATAAGCTAAACTGTGTATTTCAAGACTCTTTATCAAGTGATATAAATAGTGGTCCAAATTATTCATAAAATCATTCTTACAATTTCCAAATCACCTGTCAATATTAAGACATTGCTGAAATGAGCATTCTTTTGATATAAGTGTCACTAGCTAAATAATGATTCTGTTTGCAACTTTATTTTGACAGAGAGATGCACACACTTTTCCAGTAACTTTTTGTTAAAAACTTTTAGATAGTCAGAGGGACTGACCCGGTGGCATAGTGGTTAAGTTCACATGCTCCACTTTGGTGGCCCCAGGTTCACAGGTTTGGATCTTGGGCATGGACCTATAAACCACTTATCAAGCCATGCTATGGCAGGCTTGATAAAATAGAGGCACAGATGTTAGCTCAAGGCCAGTCTTCCTCAGCAAAACAAAAAGAATGAAAAAGAGGAGGATTGGTGGCAATGCCAGCAAAAAAAAAAAAAAACATAGGTATCAGGTGACTCAGTTCAATAAGCAGAGGATTTCTTTTAACATTGGTTCTATTATTCATGGTACTAAATCTTTTATCATCTTCAGCTGAATTTACGTAATTTCATTAAATTATTTTTAGCTCATGTATTTCTGTCTGAGATATTAAGATAATAAATATCTCTAGCGTCAGTCATGGTGGCCCAGTGGTTAGGTTTGGCACACTCCGCTTTGGCAGCCCAGGTTCAGTTCCTGTGCATAGACCTACACCACTTGTCTGTTGGTGGGCATGCTGTGGTGGTGGCTCACATACAAAAAGAGGAAGATTGACAGCAGATGTTAGCTCAGGGCAAAATCTTCCTCAGCAAATAAATAAATATCTCTGTTATGAACTAGGTCATGAAAATCATTTGTTAGACTATGTTTATGAACTTTATTTTACTATATTTTGTTCAACTTTATTTCACAGAGACTTGCAAACTTTCTTTGGTCAAGTTTCATTATACACATAAATTCATTATATTTTTTACTTTTTGTCATCAAATCATGGTCATGTTTACTTATAGTAAACAATTTAATAGCTGTCTCTCTTGGAATAATACATTGTTGCTTTCAAATATTTTATCATCTTCATTTCTATATCTTTTGCTTTCCTTATATAGTCACTTTGTCGATTTCTTTAATAATAAGTAAGATTCATATTGTGTAAAGCTAAAAAAATTGAAATTAGGGTTCCATTTATTAAATTACAATTTTCAAATTGTACAATTTCTCCAATTCCAAAATTTTTATTGGAGTGACTGTTCGAGGCTTGGTTCAGCGTCAAAGGTGTTTGAACCTCTAGCGCAATAGGCTAATAAATATCCCTTCAATAATCATCATTTCAATTCTTTCTAGCTCTCTCTCCTCTTTGATATTTCTTTAATACATAGTCAGTAAATCTTATTGATTTATTGTATTGATTGTATTGTACTGTATTGATGTATTGATTGATTGATTATGTATCTTTATTATTGTATTTTATCTTCATCCAGAGAAATGACTTAGACAATACCAAACTAAGACATTCAGAAATATTTCTCAAACTGTAGGTGCCTCTCAGCCTTTCTCCAAAGCTGTGGCACCATCTATACAGTCTAACCCTTTGATCTTTAGTTTCTTCATCATGCATGGGGGAAGTACCTTCTCATATATATTTGCCATGAGGACTTCGTGAAATGCAATGGTAAGTAAAAACATGACACACATTGGGCCTGTCACAAATTAGGCTATAATCATTGTTATCTGTGATGTACAATTATTGTTTCTATAAACCCAGCATCTTTGCTCCCTTATTTTGATAGTAGAAACCCTTTCTTTGGGGATCTGTTCCTCCCCTACTCAAAACATAGGCTTCTGTGTGCAGCCGATTCCATGACCCCATCTCCAAGACACAGCATGAGCACATGACCTGGATCCAGATGATAATAATGTTCCATCTCCTCTGGTGACAGTAATTCATCTGGGAATGGGAGTACGACTCAAGCTAGAGCAATCAGAGTTTTCCCCATGATTCTCATAAGCAGAGCAAGTAGAGAAAATTTATTTTCCTCTCTGACAAAGAAGCATCGTGGATGTGATGACTGCATGTCCTCTACACTATGGAGACACTGGAGAGTGTAAAGCTGACACCAGGGAGAAGTAGTGGAGACAGGATCCTGGAAAGGGTGACTCCCCTGTCCCCGAGGTGTCCAGTTACTGCAACTCTTCCACTAATTTCATGAGTTTTATCTATTCTTAACAATGAACATGTGTTAAAGTAAGTTTGAATCCAGTGTTCATCATTTGTACCCAAGAGTTTCTCTGATGAGTACATGAGTTTATGTAACGAAAAGCAGTGCTGTCAGAAAAAGCAGTAGAGAAGACTCATTTCAAGTAACTGTGGCGGTATCAGTGAGTTCTAGATATGGAAACTTCTATGACATGAAGAGGAGCTACAGAGCCCAGGTTATCAAAAGCAAACCAGTGTAGTTAAAAAGGAAGACAAGATAGAACACAGGTGCATATCCTTGAAAGAGAGACACTCGCCCAGGTGCTCCCACTGAGGCACCCTGAGGAAGGCTATATGAAGTGCACCCACTGGGGCTTGGGCATAGTGCCTGGCAGAAAGGAGCTGGTGGGAAGACAGCTGCTGAATGGGGAATTTGTAAGCAGGATACTGCCCTGCAACTTTCCCTATCCTAAGGTGTCTCCTGTGTGATGTAGCACTCTGAAGGAACTCTTGATTCAAATCAATAAATGTTATTTTCCTTTCAGCTATTTGGTCTCGTGCAAGGCATCTAAGTTTTCTGGGACTCTCACCCATATCTGCTCAATTCCAAAGACCAAGCTCTTGACCGCTTCATGGTGTTGAATCGGCCCTGTTTTGGATGAGGGAAGGTTGCGCAGCTAGGCACTTCTGCATCAGTAGGGCTGTAACATGCTCTGTTGAGCAGACCTGACCTCCTAGAGCCTGGAATTATTGGGGAAGAAGCTGTCCAGAGAGGGTCTAGTACAACCCTTGAGGTTTGGCTTATCTCCTTTCAGTTGACTTCAGAAGAGCTCTGACATTTCTTACATTTTCATCCTGGATGCTATTCTCACAATAATTGGCCCCTCACGCTGGTGGGGTGAGACATCTCTCTCATAAGGGTGTATTCCATGAATTCCCACACACTGAAATATCCTCTATGTACTAAGTCATTCATATCCATCTCCAAGGAACAGGGAGCCTCTGCCCTCTGATATAGGGTGTAACATCCCATGAAACCACAGGATACTAGAGTGAAATGAGACTAAAGATATCATCTTCCATACGATTTCATCTTCCTGCTCTTGGACACCAAGTGAGAGTGTCCCACAATGGTTGTCGACAGAGCTTGGCTGATAACCTACATGTCGTGATATCAGCTTCACTCCCTGCATCACACACCACATTGCCTAAAGATGTCTAGACTTGATGGAGCTTTGTCTGCACTGAAGCCCATTCTGTGACTGAGTAAGGGTCTTGGTCATGTAGTGGCTTGTCTGTTGCCCAGGATGATATGGTAGGTTTAGTGAGATCACCATGCCTAAGACCACAGAGTCCTAGTGGTAGTTAACACTGCAGCTGCACAGATTCATGGCAGCACCGTGTGCGGGCGCCCAGGCCTGCGTGCAGTGCAGTGGGCAGCATTCTAGACCATTGGAGCACTTAAGGCGAGAGTTCCTTCTGGGGATGAGATTCTCATCTAAGTCTGGCCTTCACTCCTTTCACACTTTTACACTGAACACTTTCTATGCACCGGGCCCTGTGATAAAACTGGATATACAATGGAAAACGAGTGCTCCTGTCCTCGGGAAGCTCATAGTCTAGTGAGAAAAGGATAAGTTCCATGAAAAATGAGGACTCCCTCTGTGCTGTGCAAACAGAGGCCAAGTGCGCTTCTCCATCCTGGGGACTCAGAGACTTTCACTCTCACCTTCGCTGGAGAGATAAAAGGCACAGAGCATCAACTTCGACAAGCACTGATAATGGCTACCAGCCATTTTATTACATTTTTACCAAATTAAAGGACTAGGGAGCAGGAGATCTAGGTGACAGCTTTTAACAGTACCAGTGTCCCTCTTCCGCCTCCATCAGCTCCTGGTGTCTCTCCCAGGAAAAGTACTTTTCACACTGAGCCACAATTGCTAACTCACCTGGCAAGCTCCTCTTTTCAACTGTTAACCCAGGAAGGCATGGATCTTGTGTTTGTTCTTTTTATCTCCTGGACCAAACATGGT